TATTCCAAGGCATGTGGGTTCTTCCTGGACCAGGAACCGAACCCGTGTCCCCTGCCTTGGCAGGCAGATTCGTATCCACTAGGCCACTAGGAAAGTTCCTCAACTGATTTTTATTATGTGCTGAACCAACATTTTACTACAATAAATATATTAGGGTCTGTATACAGGACACCATGGAGGGAGTGGTGGGGCCACTCCAAAAGCAGAAGATAGGATCCTTGTGCCAAGTAGCTTCAATCTCACTATGAGATATGAGCAGGAACCAGTAACAGTTCAAGGTGAAGATGAAGCTATGCCATTGAGGGCACCAGGACTGCCAAGGTGGTGGGGCAGAGGTAGTCACTTGCCCGGCTCCAGAGAGAGGCTTTGTGGAGGTGGGGATTTGAGCTGGCTCTGGAGTGATGAGCAGGATTTGGAGAGGGAAGAAGAACAGGAGGATGGGGGAAAATACGACCCAGGGCCAGTGATGAACAGCCAGGAGGCCAGCCTGAAAGTGGCTGAGTGCTCTCTGAGAACTACGTGGAATTGCAGGGACAAGGCGGAGCAGGAAGGCTGAGGCAGGGCTTTTCTCACTGGGTCAAGGGTTTTGACTTTATCCTAGGAAAGTGAGGAGCTGGTGAAGGTCTCTGAGCAAAGGAGTAACAAGATCAGATCACTGTTTTAGGGGGAGATTTAGACTGAAGAGGATGTTGGAGAGAATGTGGAAAGGATTTCCTCTCTGTAAGAAAGGAGAGCCAGTACGTCTAATGGGAGGAGGTTGGTGTGGAAGGGAAGAGGGTAGTAGATGGTGGCAGAGAGATGGATAGGCTAGGGTAGTTCCAGAAAGTCTGGAATGGAATCAAGAGGACTTGCTAACTGATGAGACATAAATGGAACAAGAGGAATTAGATCAGAGGATTAAAACTTTGGTAAAAATAAACAGTACCAAGGAGATGGATTTTATTACTCATTTAAATCATGTCACATCACAGACTTTACAAAGAATTATTATAAAAACATGAAGCATCTTCATCCTTTTTAGCAATTAAAGATCACAGATCCACACGAAGAAATTTTCTTAATGATTTAAAACAAAAAACGCAGTCCAGCCACAATTAAATGGTTTAAAGTAGAATTTAACTAGAGTAAAGAAAAAAAAATAATAACCTAATCCAGATTGCATGTTTTCTGTCTTGGGGACTGGTAGACTGTGCTTTCACCCTGAGGCTTATAATCTGCCACTTATGGAGATATAAAACCCACATTCTAGCTGTGCCTGTGGGCTCCCATTGGGCTGTTCTGTATAAGATACATCCACGTCCCCCAGGTCCACTGGAAAGAGACAGGAGCACCGACGAATGTCTAAGCAAAATGACCAGTGGTGCAGGTTTGTCTTCAGCATCTCCTGTCACCTTTCCTTTGTCTCACCTTCCCAAGCCCCTACTGTGCTCTTGACACGGGCCTGCCTTCCTTAGACAGTCGTCAGTGCTCCCGAACACTGTGCAAAGTCGAGCCTAATGACACTGCGCTGTATTAGTGGTGATAGCAATGTATGTTATTACGGTACATTGGCAAACACTTTTGACCCGTCTTTCAATAACAATACACGGCTGGTGTTACACTTGTCGTCGGCACTTTGGGATAGCGAATGTGGCAAGTTTATGCCTGCGGGGATCCAGAGATAATAACATATAAAGTCGGGAACGTTGCGAACTCGCAAAAAAGGGAGGAAAGGGGAAAATTGGGACCTGGCAAGAATCTGGATTCAGCTTCTTTGAAGTCAACGAAGCTTAACCGACTGAACTACTCAATGTAATTACCGGGAAACTTATTTTTTGTTATTCCAATCTAAGTAAAAAAAAAAAAAACCTAATACCCACTAGCCATTAGCAAAAACATGGTCTTAGTGATATTTAAATTACGAAACAGCCAAACATAACCATCAGCAAACTATTGCTCCTTCAATGAGTGGTAGCTTGTACTTGGCTGCAAAAGACGGTTTTGCGCGGGTCATCCAGGTTCCGCACCCCAGATCGTTCACTCTTGAAGCAGCCAGGCCGCTGTTTAGTATAATCCCCTCCAGAAAGAACACCGCAGTACCTGCACGCAGGTCAAACCACCGAGCCGCTCGTTTTTGACCAAACGGCACTCTTGTAATCCATCCTACCCGTGTCCCAGCACAGGAAGTGTCCTGTCGAACCGAAAACCCCCCCCTTCTAGCGATCTGTCTAGGTAGTCGTCACGCACTGAACCCACTTTTTGCTGCAGAGATTGCGTTCAATATTCATCATTTTTATTTTATGTGATAAGAAAAAAAAAAAAAAAAAAAAAAAAAAAAAAAAAAAGAAAAAAAAAAAAAAAAAAAAAAAAAAAAAAAAAAAAAAAAAAAAAAAAAAAAAAAAAAAAAAAAAAAAAAAATTGATCATTTTTATTTGATTTGATTTTTGATTGATTATTGATATCCAATATCTGTCAGCTAAAAGTGGGTTCAATTTCGTTGACGACTACCCCGTCAGACCGTAGACGGTTGGCTGTTGACAGATAACGCGTTGTAGTGTAGAAAGAGTGCTGTGCAAAACGAGCATTGGTGGTGCAACGGTTAGCATGCCCTTCCGGAAACAGTGAGATCTGGGTTCAAAACCCGGCTCACGCAAATGTTCTTGCACAGCACTCTACGCTATTGGATACTGACCATTCAGTTCAAACTACAAGAACTACCTAAAACCTAAAAACTACGCGTTTCGTTGCAGAGAGCACTAGGGGGCTTTAGCGTCACTGGCTTCACTTTGCCTGTTGCCATGGTTTACTCCGCCGCACCCGATGTGCAGACCCAGGTCCCTGGCATTGCTTCCACCTAGTGGGGGTACCCAGGGAATTGTACAACGCCTTGTGATGCAAGCAGTGAGTTCGCTAGACTCTCGAAGTCTTGCTTTTTTCCAATTTCTGGAATAACGTACAAGGTATACCTTCGATTTTCAAGAGATCGCCGGCCTCTAGCGGCGACATGACTTGCGCATCTTCGCATAAATTGATCGAAAATGCTTCTAGGTTAACTTCTCGAACAGCTAGTGACAAAATTTGCGCTTCACGTCAACGATGTTCTTGAAACCCAGGCACGTTAGGCACTTCTACCTGATGCTGTAATATCCGCCATTTTGGGTCAACTGAATGTAAAAATCAATTACACACCACTGAAATGCCAGAGAGTTGCCTTTAGTCCGATAAATATGAGTGAGTGTTCAATAATCAACATTCTATTGAAGAGATTCCCAGAAGTAATTACTAGGTTGTAAGGAAAGTGCTGCGGTATCTTCAAAGTGCGTAAAGCAATTTTATTTTGACAACAATCGAGCTCGATTAAAAGTTAGATAGTGGAAGTGGTCTCGTTCCACATCATGACAACTCTTCAGAAGGAAGCAAAACCTTCATTGGATTACGATTTGAACTATTCAGCACATACTCAGCAACTCATCGCCAACGAATCTCCTGCAGTGCGACTGACAACTGCTTGGCGATCAACTTCCTGTAGAAGTCCTCTCTCTTAACTTTGGCCAATAGTTTCCTTATTCACGAAGTATCTTTAACGAACGCTGAACTGCACAAACATCTAAAATATCATCATAGCTTGAAGATCTAATGGTGAGCTCAGAAGCGTTGACATAATTTTAGTGGCAGAGAGCACAAAAGATTTCTTCCTTGGAAAGTTTCGTTGTGGAGGCTCTTTAGACTATTGGTATGTTAACATGCGCACGATAAAAGAGCTTTCTGGTGAGCTCAAATTCGACACAGAATACTTGTGCAAAAGTCATTTTCTGAGGCGATGCGACTGAACTTTCTCTACAATGTATTATAACAGGCATTAGAAAGGCAGACTGTGTTCGTTGCTGCCTAAAATTCAAATTTCTGAAAAAGTAATAACAAGATGTCCTAGAAGAAAAACTCTCATAATGGCAACGGATAGAATCCTCCAGTGTCAATAAGCTTCTCAAGCAAGTTTCTCTTATCTTTACTGTGAGCTGTATAGAACACAATAGGCAATGGTTCCAAAGAATTTTAAAAGAATAAAATAAAATTAGTGTTTAAGACTTTCAGTACGATTTTTTAGAGTTGCTGTTGTTGTTGTTATCGGAAAAAGAGGCGTTCAAGACGGATGCTTTCTTACAGTAATAATGAACGAGCCTAAGTGTATGACCAGCGGCAGCACGGTGACGGGAATATGCTCTAGTATGAATCGAGCGGCGATGCCATGTATGCCAAATGATATGGTAACAATGTCGCCTGTTAGCGCTAACTACACCTCATTTCAGTAAGTCTATCGGTTTGAGAGTTTTTCTGAACATTTTCGCTTTCAATAAGGAAAACAATCTGTTCACACTACAAACATCGTTATGTAAAACTGGTCGACTGCGATGTGGCAAAATGTATTGAACAGAGCGCTTCAAATGATGACATTGGGTCCATTTGGGTCGCATTTCTTCTCGGCAATGGTCACTGTTGTCGGGAGATGAAACTAAACTGTGAAACTTTTGGGACAAGCCATTTTCAGTTAAGTGACTTTTATTTTAGAAACAGCAGCGATAAAGTAACAAAGCGCATAGGTGTCGATTTGTTAGAGGAATGTAGTGTATTATATCAAAGTGCACAATGTGCTGACTATGGAATTAGTGCTCTATTGAGAAAGTTATTGGAAAGAATACAATAAAAAATCAAGACTTTTCTCTACTTAGAATTAGAGGTAATATAAGGGCTCTTCTCTATTAAACGGCAACAAATGATTATTCGCCTCCATTCACTGGACATAAAGTATTCGTAAAGTGTTATAAACCATTCGAAAGCTTGAATCTCTCGTTAGCGCTTTACATGACCGCTTTTTCAAACATAACGCTGTAAAATTCAAAGTAAGATTATGTTCTACATCAGCGCGCAATTCAGCTTTTACTTCCTTGAAGCACGAAAAGCGCATGAACGTCTCTAGAAAACCTTCTAGCACTAGTGTAGGACGCTTAATCTGAAGTTGCTTTCGAAGTGGAGAAAATTTCTGATTTGATAACAAAGATCGCACTATATGCCACCCGCGATAGAGTGAATCGACTGATGGTCGTGTGAAGACGGCCACAATGCCCTCGTCACGCCCCCCACCACCCTACGGAGTAGTCAAAAACACATTTTCGAGTATGTGAATCAATATTATCTCCTCTTCTGCATCACAGGAAAGCGATCTTCCCAAATAAGCATACCGTTAGGATCTCCTAAATCTTACGCCTCGGATACAGTCAGAAGAAGAGTCACCGCTGCCCATAAGGAAAAATAGTTTTTAGAACGATTACGACAAAAATAGTGAAGGATTGAAAATATTTTAGTGGAATAGAATCTACAACGAACCAGAGTAGTGAAACCTAGCAGCTTAAGATTATTGAGCCACATTCAAAAGAACCTATTTCGAAAGCCTGTATTCGGACATCCAGATCTTATGCGCTATAGATTTGCTTCCTTTCAAAAAGAATGTGATTTTCCTTTCGCCAATTAATTAGCTATGGTGATAGTCCATCTTCATTTTGGCAGCGCAGTATCTCAAAATCCTAGACTTCACTAGAATCACTCGGGAATAATCCCGCTTGCAGCTAATGCAACGGGTCAACTCTCCGTGAGCGGAGCGTAATATTCTCTTCCTTGCTGGAACGCGCAAAGATACATTTTGAAGAAACGGAGCGTCGTATTGTAATAACCGTTTTTGCATGATATCAAATCCCTACAAGTAAGTCTAGTAGAAAGCCAAGAAAGGGCGAGAGCAAAGTATACAATGCGCGTCAGAAGTGAAACGTAGTTTTTCCTGCGCTGTTAGAGCACAGCTGGAAGGGCATTTTGAACTGACCCAGCATTAGAGCTTTTTCTCAACCTTTCGCATGACCACTTATAGTCTAATGAAAGCCGCTCGATCAGCAAAAAATTCAAACAGAGCAAAAATTCTATGCAGTGTTATGCACGTCCGTCCCTGAAAGTATGTGCAGGCTTATCTATTGCTGATGACGCTTTCAATACGCTAGTGCTTATTCACGACACTATCGTTCCCTAACGTTGGACACTGCTAAAGCTTGTTAAGCGCCGACTGGTCTCTAGTGATATAGAAGGACATGACGTAGTCGTTTTGAGGCGACTCTCCTTCACGTCACATTGCACACACTATGGGCCTTACAGAAAAAGGATACTCTGAATACTGCAATTTAGCGTTGACCAAAACATGTCGTTACCTAGATTTTGCGCTTGCTCGCGACAAGCGCTATGCCTACTGTTTTTACCTACGCGAGCGATCGCCTCATGATTGAATTCAAATATCTGTTTCAGTCACTGATCTAGTTGAGAACTTTCAATAATAAAAAACGGAGCTCGAAGCAATTTTTGGCAATGTCTCCGAACTTTACAAGACAGATTTATTAAGTCATTACAGTCATAAGAAGGAAGAACGCCCCATTTTTCAGACGGTGAAAAGTTTTTTCGACCTTTAAAAGTCTTCTGTATCTAGTCGTTCCGTGGCCCAACAAAACGGGAGCCGTCCGTGAAGGATCAAAAACTGTCATGTAAGGATTTTATTCCAAGGATATAAAGTGTTCTGGTTTTTTCTTAGCAACAACAAGCTATTAGCTAGAACAATCCGCTCTTGTTATTTAGAAGAGGATTGGTCTTAAGCTTTTTGTTGTAAGAATTTTTCATTTTATCCGCTGAGTTTTTATGGTTATATTTCAAGAATACTTTCAATGGTAGAATTCAGAAAGTATTTCCGATGCTCTATTTTTTCTAGAGCGGTTTTGACTGCGCAATAGGAGTATTTATATTTTTGTTGTACTCCATGTGACTTTTTTTTTCTTTTCCTAGCTTCTTCTCTTTGTTATTTCCTTTTGTCTGTTATCGATTCATATATGATGTGGGTCACCGCAGAACGGGAAAAACTCAGTGCAACGAGACTTTAGTCACTGCGAGGAAGCGCGTGTTAGCCGCCTGCCAAAAGAAAAGAAAGTCTTCTATCTCGATACCAGCAAAGTAAGCAAGATTATTATTTACAAATGTCGACCATAACTTCCATAATTTCATGGAAATAATCCCATTTAACCATATCTCAAACAATCAATTACAAATGATTTTTTATTTGACCGCCACTTTCGGTGTTTATGAATAGTACAATATACCCAATAATGTAGAGTGCTGTGCAAAAACATTTGCTTCAGCCGGGATTCGAAACCAAATCGTTTTCTTTCCGGGAGCGTATGCATAACCGTTGCACCGCCGACACTCGTTTGCACACAGCACTCTTTCTAAGCTACACACGCGTTATCTGTCGCGTTATTTGATGACTTAAATTACATACCTCTTTATTCGATCGCTTCTGCAGACCTTGCTTGAAACAAACAGAATAAATTCTGATGATTACATAATTTTTGAGCGTTTTATGAAGTGTGGTATCGTACTTAGAGAACCCAGAAGCTTTATGTAGAAAACCAGACAAGCTCCTGTTTTCGCTGAACAGGAAGGTAGGTTTCACTGAGGAGCTTGGAAGAGCGAAACAAACGCATGTCCAGTAGTGTAAAAGTGCCATGCCGGATCTCATAAGAGGCTCAGGTCATGTCACGTGATTATCAGATTATTATTCATTTTGCAGCT